AAAGGTTAAAATGGCAAAACTGACCGGGTCGCGACATTTTGTGGAAACTCACATGACTTAAGAGAAGTTAACCTGGTTTAAGTTGAAAATTTTTGCCAAGAAATAAATTTTGACATTCATTTCTTTAAAAATGCACCAATTCAAACTGAAAAATTTGTGAAATCTTGAAAAGCTTAAATGTTTACTAGTTGAGAAGTTCTAAGCATCCTTAAAGTTTAGTTTTTTAAATATTGACATCAATCTAACATTGTATTGTCTAGGTCCTGGACTCAATGGACAGTGTACGACAATCTGGGAGGCAAAGAGTAGAATTAAACTATGCTCAGTTTGAAGTCTCAGGAGATGTTAAATAAAAGGATACTGTTAATCAAGTATTCTTGGATTCCACATCTCCTGAGCTTACAAAAAATCCGACAAATGCACAGTGTGTGGGAAACGGTTAGGCAAAGCCAGGCTCTCAAGAAACATTTGAAATCCGTACACAAGGGAATAAAGTATCTCCTCAGTGTGAGTTTAAAGCAACTGATTAAAGTAATTAAACTAAAAATAGCAAGAATATGCATCTAGAACACTATTGTGTGGTTGTGTATATGCTTGACCATAACCTACCCATAATACTCCTACATAAATTCAGAATTAATCTAAATTATCCGTCAATAATAATGAACGTTATGTTGTAAAGTTATCAATACTAGGAATCGTAATTAATGATGCAAATTTAAAATCCAATGATATTTACGCCAAATAAATGATCCCCATATAATGAAACTTATGTGATATTATCCCCCCTTTTACTCTTAATGTGAACCCACCATGAATATAAATTCTACCGAATTGAATTTGAATCTAAAAATCCAATTAATAAACCGCAATTCTACAACCACAATTTCATACCAGGGTATATATTATTCACTTGTATATTATTGTTAGATACCCCAGCTTTAATCAATTTGGAAGTTTTAAAAAGTTTAAAAGTAATTAATTTAACCCCTGATAAAAATGTTCTTTGTTTGATATAAATAAAGGTTAGTCAGACACTTGACAAATAGTAACCAATCAGATATTCTGATCCTTAGATAGATAGATAGATAGATAGATAGATAGATAGATANAGTCAATTTATGACTGTTAATAGTTAAATGAACGTTACAATTGTGCAGTGTAAAAAGTTCCTGTAAAATGGATAAAATTGGTTACTAATAAAGCTATATACTTTGAAACAACATCAAATACACTTAAATATTGATTTAATGTCCTCTGCCTATTCCACAGTTTTCTGGTTATCACTGTATAATGTTATAAACAGTGAGGAGAACAAGAAAACTGGAATGAATCATATCTGTTCTTCCTTTGTAATTTGCAAATGAATGACACTTCAGAGACGACTGTACGGAATTTATATCGTCTTTTTTTAATCCATGATTCCTTGCAACTGTAAACTTGTTGTTTTTTCATGTCAAATTATTAACGAAGCAATGAGAAGACTAGTTTAAATAAGAAAACGTAATTCACCCCAAGGATTTTAAGAGTTTCATGTCGTTTTTACAGTCTCATTCTTTGAAGGTTACCCCTGAGGCCGAATTTAAAGAATTTAAGCTGCGGCTCAAATATAGTTGGTTCCACTTAAAATTGTATTTAATGTTTCAAGATTAAAGCCGGCGCTCAATTGAAACCGTTTTTTAGCGGATTAGAGACGCGGCTCAAATTCATTGAATTTTAACTCATGTATCTCTTAACACATGTTTTTAGCATATACATTTTCCCAAAAAATTAAAAAGTAAATTAGAAAATGTTAATCGACATTAATCATATTTTAAAAAAATAAGACGAGAAATCCACCGTATTCTGGTTCTAGAATATATACAAATTGTTGCTATAAGCCTAAATGTAAAACAAATATGTTTTAGTTTAGTTAGTTCTAGTATACAGATAAAGATAAAAAATTAAAAAAAAAACATATCTAAAACATAGATATTAACATTTTCATCAAGATTTTGAAATATTGTTCATAACCCTTGACCACAACTATAATTTAGAAACAAAAAAACGATATTAAATTTAGGTGCGGTCTCGAGGGGGTGACGTGAGAGGGAGGTGGGCCCAGGGGTTTTTCAGGAAATTGTCGGGGGGATAAGCACATTCCATGTTTGCGGCTTTATAGCTCCCAGGAAACTAATTTGTTTCTTTTTAATTGGTGGGGGGTCAGTCCCCATTTGCCCCCCCCCCTCCTCCAATGTATCCGTCCTGGTTGGGACTGTTGTAATGGAAGCCTGGCAACCTTTAAGATGGCGTTAAGCTTTCTTTATCTCCTTCATACTTCACTGCATTTTAGACTAAGTCTAATGATCACACAATAATATAGACATGAATTTTTAGTTTGTTTATAAAAAATTCTTTAAAATTTTAAAATGAACTATCTATCCTTCAAATGGTTATTCTATTTTTTAGAAAAACCAGAAACAAGAATTGTTCTTATTCAACCATGTTTCCATTAATAAAAAAATATTGAGTAAAAGTTGTGAACATTTTTCGTATTTTTGCGAAAGCATCAAAATCAATTAAAAGCTTGGCCTAAAAAACTATTTTGCAACATTTTTTACAAGCTTAATTCTATAAATATTTTTGTTTAATTTCTACACACTTTTTACATCAGAGCTTTTTACATCTTTTTACACTTTTTCTTTTATTTTTACATTAAACAACAAGGAAGTTAATAAAATGTCATGGATTCCTTCATAAACTACATAATAACTTGTAATTTGTAAATTTCTGTTCCGGTAGAAGAATATTTTTGAAAATTTAAATGTGTATATTTCATAGCAATTAAATGGTGAACGGGGGGGGGGG